GTGCTCCAATTGGAGAACAACCTTTACCAAAGGTGTCATGGGCTTTGAAGACACTTGGACTCAGGACAAAAGGGAGAAACGTGCTAACAGGAAGGCACGTTTGGCAAATCCACACCATGACCAATTGCCACCCAGAAACCAATGTCCCCACTGTGGAAGGATGTGTGGATCCAGAATTGGCCTCCACAGTCACTTAATGACTCACTGTTAAAACTGTTCATGAGCCTTACTCAGCTACAAGTGAGCACCGAAGAATCAGCAAGCTGGCTGCATCGAAATGATCTCCCTGGAGTAGCAGCTCTCCCTCTCAGCCTTGCTGATGTGTTTCAAAGGAAGGCAGAGCAATGTTTTGCACCCGAGTTGCCAGAAACAAGGTGTACAAGGCACTATCCAACTATCTTAGGGACTCTCCTCCGGTTTTACTCCTTAGTCTTTTCTTCTCCTGAAGACATCCCACAAGGATAACCAGTGGTAAAGTCAGTTTCAGGTCACAAAGTCATAGCATTGGCTCAAGCTCAGAGTAGGATTCAGTTTTAGGTTATACAAAGCAGCACATAAGCTAAGTGTAAGGATAAGCCAAGTTAAGTTCCAGCTTTTTGGTGAAATCCAGATCAGCTTTCAAACTGATTGCAAGTTGCAACTTTCACTTAACGAACCCGTGAGTTCATCTGCAGTGTAGGCTTGGTTTAAGGCAGGGGTCTGCAACCTTTAAGACAAAAAGAGCCACTTGGACCCGTTTCCGAAGAAAAGAAAAAACTGGGAGCCGCAAAACTCGTCATTATAAAAATAACCTTTTTGTCACTTTTTTATTATTTCTTTGTTTGACCCCTCAGAATTACTCCTCCTCATAGAAATAAACGTTAAATTAACAAGTTACCTTTTTGTGTGTGTGTGTTCTTCACTCCCCTTCAAAACAGTGACCAGCGTACATGCCCCCTTTCAATGCAGTGACCAGCGTACATGCCCCTTACAATGTAGCGGGCGGGCGGGAAGGTGACGTCGGGACGGTGCGTGACTAACGCACGCACCGCCCCCATGCGACGTCACAGCCAGTACAGCGTCCGCCACAGTGTGGAGTGTCGGGGCACACAATGCGCCTCCTCCCCTCGCTAGTATCTGCCCCGGAGCCGCGGCAAAGGTGTAAAAGAGCCACATGCGGCTCCGGAGCCGCGGGTTGCAGACCCCTGGTTTAAGGTTATCATATCCCTGTTTAAAGTTATTGAGTGTTTGTTTTTGTGTTGATTTATTACAATTCTATTTTGGAATTGCCATTTACTGCTTTGCTTTCTTTGATGGGTGAGCTGCCCAGAGGGCATTTGTGTTGGACGGTTTGGAATAAATTTTTACAAACTAAAAGTGAAACCGAAGGTGAAGAGACCATATAGCCAGCATCGTATCAAAATATATTTTATTCTGGACCTCTTTCAGATCTGATTCAAATTACACTTGTCAGAGCAATACAATGCAAAGGGGGGAACTGCAACAGAAAAAAAAAATGTGCCTAGAAACAGTTTAAGAAAAGGGCTTTTGAGAAGACAAAATCATTGTGATGTGGAACCAAAATACATCATAAAAGGTGTAATTAACATGAGTCCAGGACAGTATAGAACATCTATATCAGTCTTCTTTAGACAATAAATCATGAAAACTGAACAATAAAAAGTCTTTCTGAACAAGTAAAAAAGAAAAGGAAAAAGAACCTGTCACATGGGCTGGTTTTACACTTGTACAACATTTGTAAATTTAACTGGATATATAACTGAAGAAGTGATGAAGACATATATTTTTTTATCCAGTGCTATAGGTAGGCTCACAGAAGTAGACCCAAAATATTAGCAACTCCAAATCGGAACCTTTTTTTTTTTTTTTGCATTTTGTCTTTTTTTACAACTACAATGTCAAAGTCAGGAGAGAGAGTAGTAGAAGGAAAAGAAGAGTTTACTTTTGTATTATAGGTGACTGACTGACTTCCCGCGGCCTGTCGAGAGAAACGATATCGCAAAGCACACAGGAGAAGCAACCACGAAACAAGAGTCTGACTTCCTGAATTCATCCACAAATGCAAGAAACAAACCCAAAATAAAACTATAGGAGCACATTCAGGCTTGGCCACAATGTTGGGACTGACCAACCTTGCATTGTCAAACCCAGCTGTTTTGAAGATCCTGTGTCGTTATGGGGCTGGCAATTAAAGAGACGCCAGTTCACCTTACAGGATAACCCTGTCGTAGCTTCAAGAGTCTTCTTCCTCAAGAAGACTGAAGGCTCCCGATATCAAACCTTTGCTGCTGTCCACCAAACCGAGAGGCTTATCCAGAAAATGACTCGTTTGGCTCATGTGCATGAATCCCGAAAGGCAGGAAGCCAGCAAATTAAAGGGTTTTTATTTTATTTTTAAAAACTCAGCATGGAAAGGAGGAGCCACGCAGGTTTTGATGAATTGGAGGGATGGAGGGAGGTGGGGACTGTCTGTGCATTGAATGCACATCCACCTCCTTTTAGATCCAAAGTATGGATATTCTCTCTCGCTGGCTTGGTATCCATATGCCATAATGCTGCCCCCTTTCTACCAATTCTGGAAGTAATTACTAAATTAAGCCAAATGACTATGGCAGGCAGCCATTTCCAGATCCCCTTGCTCAGCTTGTGAGATTTTCGGCTCGCTGCTTCTGAAAGTCAACCTTTGCAGTAAGTTTGTTCTCACCTACAGTCGGCGGGGGTCGTTTTCCCTTTGGAGATAAGGATTTCTAATCACGAGAGATTGTGGAGCAGATCCTCTATATTTTGCAATGCTTCTTGCCCCCCTCCCTCGCAGAAAGGGTTTTAGATGAGTTCACGTCTCAGTTACAGTAGTCAGAAAAAAGGAAAGGAAAAAACCATACCGCCCAATTTCAGAAACACATCTAGGGCTTTGTGAGCAAATTTAGAATACTAGGGCAATGCATACATTAAAAGCCGACCAAAATAGTGGTACTGACCTGGTGTGTACTTGGGATTATTTATTTTTCTCATTGGCCAACCAAATTATCATTGCTCTTAGAATACGCTGAGACCGATTTAAGCCCCCGTCATATTTTCTGCCAGCAGGACGCTTTAATGATAAAACCCATCAAAGATGGATCTGGTTTTAGCCGAAGCCTCACTGACGAGTACCTACATGTCAGTTTCACCAAGGCTTGCTGTTGAGACTGAGACTGCAGTACAGCTCCAATCAATTTCTCACCATCGTTATGATGGTTTGGCTGAAACTTGCCAGGCATTTCGTCATCCACGCAATGCTTATCAAAACCATACTCCAAACTTTCCCCTCTTAACACGTGGTAGAAAATGCCAGTCAGATGCAAAAGCCAGAGCACTTACTGTTCCCAAACCTAACCCTGCGGAAAGCCATCTAATTAGACTTTAATTTGATTTTGACCTGTTTTTAGGAGGTAATTTAATTATTGTTTGATTTTATACCAGTGTTATATATCTGATGTTAGCTGCCCTGAGCCTGACTTCGGCCGGGGAGGGCGGGATATAAATAAAAGTTGTTTTTTAAAATTATTATTATTATTGCATTAGCTTGGGAAGCTTATTTCTAAAAATGACTTTCCGTGACCACTGATGGTCATGATGCCCCTCTATAGATGTTCTTGCAAGAGATGCCCTAAAAGTCAATTTCAGGGAAAGAGTATAGTCATGGCAAATGCATCTTCCCTGTAAAAACACGTCACCGTTATGAGTGAAAGTCAGGGTTGAAGGCCCCAATATCTGGGGGCTGACCTCAAAGAGGTCCAGATGGTGTAGATTTTCCTCCCTGGAATTCCTGTATAGAACGATTGGCACTTGAGAAGTTCCTTCTAGACATGCCGACCTGTCGATCCCCGTCAAATGCCATCTTTTACATGCTCATCTCATGCTGAAGACGAGAAGCTGGTTCAGAACTGGAGCAGCACTGTGGCACATCGATAAAAGAGGACAGCAGCAAAACCACGGGCAACTTCAGGGCTGAGGTTTGAGCAGCCCACACCTGCGAGAGACCGCAGCCAGGTGACGAGGGCTGTTTTCCCTGCCCTTGTGATCTTATCGCAAAAGAAACCTGCGCCGTTAGCTGGTTTTCAAAAGCAGCTTGCACTGGGGGATTTAGTGAGATGAAGAGGCTGCAGTCTCAAGAAAGGTGGTAGTGGGAGAGGTTTTTTGGGGGAAGGCTCATGGTGCAAACCTATCTGAAATTTTATTCTCTGGAGTGCAGCCGGGGGGGCTACAGTCTTGCGAAACCTACTGCGTACTCTCGACCGTCACAACTTCAGTGGGAATAGGTGCATAGCACTTGGGGCAAAAGTTTGCAGCTCGGGTGTTTCGGCCCACGACAATAACGCTCCCCTCTTGAGTGGTGCGTGGCTTTGGAGTTTGGGATCCGGCCCACGTGATCTCGAGAGAGAGAGAGTGGCTGAGCATCTTCTGGCCCCCGCACATGTATACACACACACAACTAAACGACGACCTTGAATTGTGTTAGAAGCAAAAGCGGGGTGGGGGAGGTGGGAGAAGGGGGAATCAGCCCACGATTTGGTGATAATGAAGCCTCGGTAATGTCTGCATGCTATCTCGTACGTAGGTGACTAGAATCAAATCACAAAACAAACAGGAAAAAACCGAAATGGAAAGAAAAGCAGCTAAACGGTTGCAAAACCAGAAATGTGGACGTTGCTGAGGAATCTTGCAGCTGTGTCAAAAGAGTTTCAACACCATCAATATTTTTATACAGTTTTTTAAAGTCCGCTGAAATATCCGTTCAACAGCTTGTATGAAAAATGAACAGACTGTCCATATCAAAATACAAAAGTACTATCAAGAATCACCTCTGACTTTTTTCTCTTTTTTTAGATTTAAGTTCAGTGCAATTGACATTTGCGTTGCTAAAGGGGGGAGGGAAACGGGGGGGGGGAGCCGTTTAAATATATTCAAAACAAAAATCCCCAAACACATTTGTGTCTATTTCTGGGAGCACAGTTTAAAATTATTGCACAGATTTTTTATTTTATTTCATTTTACATTTTTTAAAACTTTTTTTTAAAAATTATTTGAATAATGAGAGGTCAGCAACAGTCCTGGACCTCCAGCAATAAAAAGCACAAAAAAAAAATGTTCCAAGTGCCAGATATTCAACAGGTTAAGAGTTTCTTACATATCAAAATTCACAGGGAAATTGTTCTGAACATCTTGAGCCTATTCCCAAACCATACAAACAGCTGGTAGAGAGCCGTATCAGATGACTGACTGCCCTTGTGGGTATAAATCTTCCTTTTGCTTGTTTCGCGTTAAGGTAGCAACTCCCCCATTAGTAGTAACTGATGTGTTTGTGTGTATTAAAAGTAGGCTAAAATGGTTGCCATGCCGTGTAAGGCTGAGCTGGACTCCCAACTGCCTCAAAACATGGTTTCGTGTGCACAGAAATCAATGCTAAAAAGCCCAAAACGCCATCGGCTAAAAAGAAGAGACCAAAAGCTGCCTTTTCTGCGTTAGGATCAATCTGCAACGAGCTATATAAAGCAAAAGTGGGGGAACCTGTGGCTGTCCGGATGCTGCTGGGACTCCAACTCCCATCAGCCCCCAACAAGCACGGCTAACGGTTATGAATGATGGGAGCTGTAGTCCAGATCTGCAGGTTTCTGTCTAGGGCTTTGTTATCGAGGGGCAAGCGGCAGAGAGATTGGGCCGGTTGAAGCGGACTCCAGAGAGAGGAGGGGGAAATTCGCTTTGAAAAGGGGCGGGGAATTGCATGAAAACACTGCGCATCAGCAGTACTGGAGGAAAATCTGCTTTCACACCACTTTTTTCACAAAGCAGGGGCGCTGATGCTACTGGGGTTTTTGCTATACTCAAATATGTGAGCGGAGAGCAGTTCTGCCACGGCCACCTCTCGCTGCAAGGAATGGAAAAGCAACGTTTGAGATAAGAAACACCACTATTGGTGGTGGTCGTATTTTTGCGCTGGATTTTGTGGGGGATTGGGGGGGGGGATGGAATATGGAAATTATGGAATGGGAGCAGCAGGGCAAGAGCCACGCTTCTGATAGAAGTCAAATTCATCTTGAAATAAATCATGAAACAATTCTCAGATTTCCCCCCCCTTCCTCCCCCCTGCCGTTTCCTTTCAGATCTAAAAAGGGGCCACGATTCGTTTTGAACTTTTGCCAGTGCCAAGACTGGTTCGGCACAGGCGTAAAAACTGCTCTCTGACACATTTTGGATGGACAAAACATGTCCAGTAGGACGCTTCCGTAAGCAAGCAAACTGCTTACCTCGTCCCAGTATTAGCAATGAGGTGGCAAATACATTTCTGAATTTTTTAATAATAAAAATAAAAATTTAAAAAGGGAAAAAAGTGTGTGCATGTGTCTTGTGTCGGGCACCTACTCACCCACCCCAAACTCAAAATACTTTAAATTAATTTGGACTTTGGTGACACTAGACATCTGAGAAGGAACAGGCGAAGAGTCCCCCGGATGTTGTAGCAGAAAAAAACCTCGCCCAGGTGAATTTGAGCGCAAACCAAACGATCCGTTTCCCCTCACGTTTCTTTCCTTCTTTCGCAGCAGTTGCGCAGTTGGGGCTCTAAGACTATAGCAATGGGTTCAAAGAAACTGCCAAGCTACAGCTAAAGCAAAAGTTGAATTAGTCCTGTGCTGATGTTTTGGAATGTCCATGCCTTGGTGGAACCAGGACTGGTGCAATCCAGAGCCACTCCTTGCAGATACACCACGGCTGTGTCTGTGTGTGCAGGTCCCTATGCAAATATAAAACGTAACACACAAACTTCAGGTGGGAGCAAATGGCACAACCCTGATCCCTCCATTGTGGGCATGTGTTCCAAACACCAGAGTGTCGATGTGTGTGTATAAACACACCCCTGCACTTTCTTAATTAAAACACACAAAAACAAAATAATGTACCCTTTGATGTTTGCCTGAAATGTCTCAAGTAAGGGACGACTGCTTTTTGGAACACACTTTTACAGATATACTTATACCTAAAGGCCGAGCCACCCCAGCCCCCTGGCCTGTGAGCCCATGAGTAATGGATCTTACGTCGATGTAAAGGAATGTCAAACTTACAATGTTCCGAGAGGTTCTGCTTTGCGCTTCCTTGCCTCCCTGCCTAAGCTGTGGACAGGGAACCACAACGCCTTCGAGATGTCCCTACACCTTTAAAATAACACATTCGGAAAGGACGGCTGCAAAACGTTACACACACACACCCTCCCCAATTCTGAGCAAAAATAAGGGGGTAGGGGGTGTTAAAAGGCAAGGTACACAAAAACTGCTCGTCCGCTACGAAGAAAGGAAGCCAAAGAAGAAAGGTGGGGTGGAGGGATAGGGGAATTCCATTTTTTAAAACCTTGAAGAAGGGAGGGGATGCAGAAGGAGGGGGGGAGGGAAGGAGGGAGGCAGCCACCTGAAACTTTCCCCAATTTGGTACACACAATGAGCTGCTCCTCTACGGTTACATCTCTCTCTCTCTCTTTCTCTTCCTGTTTTGTTTAGTTTTTTGTTTTTCCATTTCCAAAGATGCTCACATGTTATTTTGGGTGGGGTGGGGTGGGGGCACAGCAGATTCCAGCACTTGGTGAACAGGCTTCACAAGCTGTGAAAAAACGAAAAAACAAAAGAACCCAACAACCTCTTGTCGTCTTCTTCAGGGTGTTAATCGTTTGCCGTGTGTCTTGTCTGTTTTCGCTTTTTTTTTTTAATACACAGTATATGTATATAATTCTTTCTCGGGTTTGGCTGTAGTGGAACTGGCCATGGTTCAATTGGGACTATAGCAGTACATGGGTCAAGGGGACAGTCATTTTGGCTATGTACACATTCATAGTCGGTCCATGGCTTCCAACTAATAGCGCTATTTCCGTAGGTCTAGTACACAAACCTGCAAGGGGGAAGGAGAGAAGGGGTGGGGGAAAGTGGGGCGTTAAGAAGTCTATGAAACAACAGATTAATCCACAAGAATACACATTACTTCTTAAGAGCATCAGTTGCATACAACAGAGAAGAGGCCGATTGTTGCCTTCCACAGATAGGATATCTCTGACTCATGGGTGCCAGGGCGTCGCAGGAGGGGATGAAAAATTCATGTTTTTGCCCTGGGCCTATGTGTACTCCCTCCCGCTATTAGCAAGCACTGATACGGAGCATTGACAGCTGAGAAACAAAGGGATGCCTCTAATGTAAAGGTAAAGGGACCCCTGACCATTAGGTCCTGTCGTGACCGACTCTTGGGTTGCGGCACTCATCTCGCTTTACTGGCCGAGGGAGCCGGCGTTTGTCCGCAGACAGCTTCCGGGTCATGTGGCCAGCATGACTAAGCCACATCTGGCAAACCAGAGCAGCGCACGGAAACGCTGTTTACCTTCCCGCTGGAGCAGTACCTATTTATTTACTTGCACTTTGGCGTGCTTTTGAACTGCTAGGTTGGCAGGAGCAGGGACCGAGCAATGGGCGCTCACCCTATCACGGGGATTCGAACCACTGACCTTCTGATCGGCAAGTCCTAGGCTCTGTGGTTTAACCCACAGCGCCACCCGCGTCCCTTTGCCTCTAATGTAGCGCTAGGTTAAAGTCACTCGGCAGTATTCTTTCGTTCTGATGGCTAAACGTTATCTGCCTGCAGAATGATGCTGCACAAGGGAACGCAGAAGTAGCTTGCTAGTAAAAATGCTGTATGCACGACCCATTGCATGGTGAGCTTCACGCAAAACGCATTTGCATCCTATGCTGCACAACATCAAAATTTGCCCGTCTGCTGGCACAAGAGTCCTTGAACTAGCGGACAGGGAGCTCCGGGTGCAGCCCAAGATGGCGGCAATCAGGACTCTTACAAGAGCCCCAAAGTTTCCAGAAGTACTAAAAGGCCTTTGGGAGGGGGGCAAAAAAAGGGGAGCCCCAAAAAACCTGAGCCCCAAAGAGGACTGAGCATGCTCAGTGCCCACAGAATGCTAGGTGTCTTTTAGTAGGAAAACGGAAAGTTTGGAGGGGGAATGGGATGGTGTGCATTAGAAAAGGGCATGGCTGGCACCCTGAGCTTGAGCGCTGCAGCATTTTGTTGCCGGTCCTCCTTGCTGTACACACTGCTGAGTTAAATGGATGTTGGTAGTGAACCTGAGCGTTCTGCTTTTTTTTTTTTAAACAAAACAGAGAAAGTTTTCTCTTGTTCCATGTGCTTTATGGAGGAATAATTTCTTCTGTAGTCCGTTTTAATCAATTTTACCCGCTTCTTCCCCACATTTGCATGCAGTCATGAGAATCTCAAAAGAATGATTGGAAATTCTTGTTTTGCGGTAGCGCCTTGGTTGGAAATGATAACATTTGAACTCTCTGTGTCAAATCTGAATAGGCGTGGCAATTTGCTTGTCCCTGTAAGATGCGGGGTGAGGTGGAGGCAGAGTAACTGGACCGTATTTGGGGGCTGTCAGGAAACAAGAGGGCAAGCAGGAAGACCCGTCACTGTCTCCACTCAAACAGGAAGCCGCTAATGGTCTTTCCTGTTTTGGAGGGTCCAACGGACAACCTAGACGGGTGTAGTTGGTCTAAGCCTGGGAACACTTCATTCACTACCTAAGGAGATGCGCCAATGAATGCTTACTTTTTCATTTACTGGTTTCATGTAACGTTGCATTAAGTTGTAGTCCCGCCTAGCTTGTCACACAGCAATGGGTCTTCTGGCTTGTTTTAAGAAGCCTCTACATTTCCAGGCCCACTTGGATATTCCAGGAGTGACAAATTGCAAGAACCTGTGTACTTACTGAACCATCTGAAGCACTCGCTCCAACTTTGTCTCCTCCTGCATTCCAGCAAACCTCAAAAATGCCTCCTGTTCCCCGATAACTATGCACTAGAGCACCCGTCTGAAAAAGAAAGAGGGGGGGATAGAAAGCAATTAAAATACATTATCATCCTTGTTAATATAAACACATACCACTTGAAGTATGCATGCATTCGAAACCACCTACATTCTGAGCACATGGACCATTCTCTGCAGTGCCTTTCTGTGCCTGTGGGGGAGACAGAGAGCTAGGCGGAACTCTATGACAGGCATAGGCAAACTCGGCCCTCCAGATGTTTTGGGACTACAACTCCCATCATCCCTAGCTAACAGGACCAGTGGTCAGGGATGATGGGATTTGTAGTCCCAAAACATCTGGAGGGCAGAGTTTGCCTATGCCTGCTCTACGAGGTCACTTCCCTTTGCAAGTGCCATGTTCTAGATCAGGAAGTCACTGCTGATCACAAGGAAGGGGACAAACAAATGGAACAATGTGTTGTGCTCAGCCTGTTTAGTGCTTCTGAACTTAGCCCAGAAGCAAATTGGAAACTAGCGCAGATGAGCTCAAAGATTTTATATGCCCTCTCTTAACAAGCCATAGCATTTCTGCTTAAACAGGACTTCTAATATGTTTTTCGGGAGCCGCCAGTCACTATTATAGTCCAGCTAGCAGGTTATCAATACGCATAGACCCGGGGGGGGGGGGGGGACATATGCGCAATGCAAACCATTCTATTTCCTTTTAAAAACACCTCTTTCGCAGGGTTACTTCTGAAATAACACTGTGCTAATAGAGATTTTTTTAAAGCAAGTGGAAAGTTACATGGGAACTAGTCTTCTGAGACTGTATTTGTGACCAGGGAGGGTCCGACTGGCACGCAGGAGCCCATTTTAAGAACCTATCAGTTCACCTTAAAAAGCCATTTCTGTGCCAACGATATAGCTTGCGGAAGAGCCAACTCTTGCTTTTGATGTCCCCCTCCTTCTTAGATAACCCTGTTTGTTCAGACCCTCTTAGGACAGAAATCACAACTGCGTACTGCATTTTAATGGGAGCCCTGTGCTTGGAAACATGCGCTCTCTCTCTCTCATAAACATTGGGGAAATCCTTGGTGCAAAGGAGAGGAATGGCTGGGAGAAAGAAAACAAAATGCGCAAGGTTCCCCGGGCATTCAAGAGGCAGGCTGGACATGAATGGTGAGGACTCCTGTTGGGAGGTTCAGCAGCAATAAAGGGCCACGTTCCCTATCACCAAGTGTTGCCATTGTAGAAGCAAGGAAAAGACCCCAGACACCCTGAAAGGCGGCATCATCATCATCATCATCATCATCACTTAGCCCCTGATATTAAAAGCTGTCCTGGCAAATCCGACTGAGGAGTGTGGGGCAAGAACCCTAAGAAAGAAAGGAATTTGAATAAAATAGCTAAACACAAACAACCGCCCAAGTAGACGCACCTGTGTATTCCAGATGTGTACACATTTGTCGAAAGAGCCACTGGCCAGATACCTGCCGTCAGGACTGAAAGCTACACTGTACACAGGTTCTTGGTGTTTCGTCAAGGTGTGGATGCAGATCCCTCTGTCTACATCCCATAACCGAACTGTAGAATCGAAAGATGCACTGCCGAGAAGGGAAAGAACGGGAGGGGGAAGCAATTGCTGTCATTTCAATATTGATTTTAGAATGTATTTACCTATGCTTTATTTCTTAAAAAAACAAAACAAAACCATGCACTGGGGGGAATTAAGGGTGGAGGAAGAAAAGCAAAAGAATAAGAGGAGTGCAGCAGAAGAGGTGTAGCAGAAAACGTGCATTTAAAGGGCTGATCTTTCATAATCAGGGCTGTGTAGGTGGCTGCCCCTGTAACAACCCCCTTGGACCCTACAATCGTAACTGTATAGACTTTAGCTTCATTATTATAACGACCTGTTTCATTATGATTAAATATCCACATCTGGATTTCCTCGGGCTAGTTGGCACTTACCTACCATAGATTCCGGCATATTAGGTGACTGGGTGTATAAGACGACCCCCCAAATTGGCAGCTGCCAATTTGGGGGGGTTGACTTATACAGTGGTGCCCCGCAAGACGAATGCCTCGCAAGACGGAAAACCCGCTAGACGAAAGGGTTTTCCGTTTTGGAGGTGCTTCGCAAAATGAATTTCCTATGGGCTTGCTTCGCAAGACGAAAATGTGTTGCGAGTTCCTGCAGGGTTTTTTCCTCCCCCCCCCTTTTTCCCAAGCCGCTAAGCCGCTTATCAGCTGATCCGCTAAGCCGCTTAACAGCTGATCCGCTAAGCCGCTTAACAGCTGATCCGCTAAGCCACTAAGCCGCTTATCAGCTGATCCGCTAAGCCCACTAAGCCACTAATGGGGTTGCTTCGAAAGACGAAAAAACCGCAAGATGAAGAGAATCGCGGAACGGATTCTTTTCGTCTTGCGAGGCACCACTGTACGCCCAGTCTTATACGCAGCAGCTTTGCTGGGCAGCAGCAGTGGGCGGTGGGCTCCACGCCGGGAGGAAGCTGCCCAGCTCCCTGGCGTGGAGCCCGCCGCCCACTGCCGCTGCCCAGTGAACCCATACCCGGCGTATAAGATGACCCCTGACTTTTTAGAGGATTTCTCAGGGTTAAAAAGTCGTCTTATACGCTGGAATCTACAGTAGGTTGCGAGTATTGCAGCGTTCTGCAAAACAAGCAGTATTCCAAGAAAAGGCCTACGACATTATCACCCTGGGGGCACTCCTGAATTCGGTCACATCCCCAACATACGTTTAAAGTGCATGGCTTCACCCAAAGAATCCTGGGAACCTCGTTTGGTTAAGGAAGCTGGGAAGTGCAGCAAATGGAACAATGTGTTGTGCTCAGCCTGTACTGTACTGCAGCTCTGTGAGGGATAAGCTACAGTTCCCATGATTCTTTGGGGTGAGAGGAAGTCATGGGCTTTAAATATTAGGTGCAGACGTGACCTTCGAAATAGGATGAGGCACTTGTAGCTGGCTCTGTTTGCCTTCCAAAGAGTCTAGAAGCACATGCTCAAATACACAAATGAGCATAATAGCAGGCTTCTTGGAACATGCAAAGGGTTGAAATGGGGACAAGGAGGGGTGCACATACAAGCCCCGTCCAAAACTGCCTGGGCAGCTCTTCAGATCTTTCTGCAACTGGTGGGAAGATCTGAAGAAGTGTGTGTATTTTAAGGTGTTCAACTGAGCATGGTTTGAGACCTCCCTGTGAGAGGGAGGCCCATCAATCTGTGGACCCCAATTATCCCCCTTCGCATAGGGGGAGTCCCCACAGTTTAAACCTTCATGTGCTGAGGATGAATTTTGATGCCTTAGCATAGCTGCTGTCTCCCCCCTGACAATATTACCTTGCTAACATAAGATTGGCATTTGGGTTGTTTGTTCCTGGCCCCGTAGGACTCCATTTGATAGTATAAATTTCTTTGTTGTGTGCTTGTAGATCGTGGACACAACTATCTTGTTTCATACTCCAGATCTAAGAGAGGTCAAGAGAGAAGAAAAAGCGTATCAACTTTCTGTGCAAAGAGTTTCCCGGCAAATATCGCAACCCTCTTCCTTCCGCCAAAGCAAAGAAACACAGTGCAAATGAAGACACTTTGCTCCGGGGTTTTTTGAGCCCAATTCTCATGTGAACTCGGCACTGCATTTGTAGGAGCTTGGTCACCGTTCTGCAATCCGTTCTGCGCACAGCTGTGGCAATTTCCACAGCATCCAACGCCAAAGGAGGCTCGTCGCGAAGCACTGGAAGGAAGTGCAAAAAATGTGTGGAGAGCTGCTTCACGGAGGCGGCCTCCCATTTGCAGTGAACTCCAGGTGTTCTCTCCTGCCCACCTAACAGTTCGAAAGCACGTCAAAGTGCAAGTAGATAAATAGGTACCGCTCCGGCGGGAAGGCAAACGGCGTTTCCGTGCGCTGCTCTGGTTTGCCAGAAGTGGCTTAATCATGCTGGCCACATGACCCAGAAGCTGTATGCCGGCTCCCTGGCCAATAAAGCAAGATGAGCGCCACAACCCTGAGTCGGTCACGACTGGACCTAATGGTCAGGGGTCCCTTTACCTTTACCAGGTGTTCTCTACAGAAGTGTTGATTTGGAAAGGACCCTGAGGGTGATCTCGTCCAATCCCCTGCGATGCAGGAATCTCAACATAGAATCATAAAACCGCTAAACTGCACATGCTTATGGGATGAGAATGTACTTTCATAGGACGGAAACCAAAACAAACAAACAAATTCCAGTGTGTGGTTAAAAAAGCTGTAGGGTATCCCTCTCTAAGAACATGCGGAACTGCTGCTGGGTTTATGTAAAGGGAACCGTATTGGCTAGTTATGGACAATACTGAACTAAATGAACCAGTGGTCTGACTCTGTATAGACTCAGCTTCCTGTTCCTTTCGTTGTAGACTATAATCCTCTGGAACAGCGACAATTCCTGTTCTGCGTTCTAAAAGGCAGTCACTCAACCAAGACACCAGGGTGGTATTTAACTAAGTTTTACTCAGAATAGATCCACTGCAATTAATGAACGTCAACAATTTAGGTCCATTAATTTCACTGAGTGCACTCCCAGTAAAATTTAGTTGGATGCCAACCTGGGGAAATACGTTACGCTAAAACAAGTGAAACAAGGGACTGATATGAGCTGATAGCCACACCAAGTGCTTTTTAAAGTCAGGAAGATGAAGCTAGTCAATTAAATTGACTGACAAGTAGAGGTAGCGCATGGAAAAGGAAGGTCTTCCAGCAACACTAAATCTAGTCATTGAACACACAACAAAGCCTCAACCTGCTGGGATTGGGATTAGCAAAGGTGGCTTTAGGAGCAAATTCATGAGGACAGGCTAATCAATAGCTCCTGGCCAAGTATCATTCAATACTCAATACTGGGGAGCAAGCTGTCATGACTAAGGTCTTTGAGGGCAGAAACTGGAACATGCTGGAAGATACTAGTTCATTCTACAAGGTTCTTTTCTTTTTTTACTGTTAAGAGTTGGAAATGTTATGTTTTATGTTTTGGCTATCTCAAGGTCACGCTGAGATAGATAAATTTGTGCGCTCAGCGAACTGGTAATTCTTTCTTACTTTCATTTTCAACCTTGAACGTTTGCAGATTTCTCTGAAGTTGTTTTGTGTGTGTGTGTGTTTTGCCTTCCATGTGTTTTTTTTTTTGCCTTTCATGAAAATCCTCTTTTACTGATGAACCTTTGATTCTGTGTGTTTTATTACTTCCAAGACGCATTCACTCCAAATATACGTTTCTGCAATTCTGCTTTTCGTCAGGACATGGAGTGCCTAGGATTTTAGGCTGATTCCTGTCACAGGCAACAGAGAATGGGGGCATACAAAAGGAGATTTGACTTGACAGGCTGGTCCAGCAAGATGTTTCTTATGGCATTATAGGACACCAGGTCCAATTTTGCCAAAGACGACTAACAACGTTGCCAGTCAAAAGCAGGCCAAAGCCTTCTTGGATACATAGCGATAAACTCCACCTAAGAACGTGACTGAAAAAGTATAGCATAAGTAGTTTATTATCAACCCAGATCACCCGGTGTTGTACATTTTACCTTTAAAGTCATGTCATCGGAACAAGATGCCAGAAGATTACCAGTGGGATCCCATTTGATTGCGTTAACTTCATTCTGAAATTTAAGAGCAAGAGGGAAGTTGACATCTCCCATTTCATTGACATAAGAGGACAGGGAAATAAAAGGAAGGCTCTTCCAACTCAGTAACAACATGGCGGCACCATTAATCCAGAAGGAACAATGCTGAAATTTGATGGAACATGTCTGCCTTGAAATTATTCAGAGGCAGGCAATGGACACAGCAGGCTCTATTGGGCTTGGCCCAATACCACTCAGATTACATCCGAAGGACACTTACGAAAAGGTTTTGCTAATTCAATGGGGCCTCCTTTGGAGGAAAAATGCTTAGCTTAATAACAGCACCATGGCACCATCTTTGCCTATGCAAATTGTACAGTCAACGCAAAAGCTGTATGGGGCACACAAAGGCTATGCGTCCCCTTGCAACCGGCTGAGCTAACGTAAGAATCTGTAAGGTATTCACAACTTTCAAAAGAATCCAAGAATCCATGCCTGGAATCTGGAACAGATCTCTCATGAACTGACGGGAAACGCTGTGATCTTATGGGAACTGCAGCTTGGGGATGCAGGTCCTTCATGGAAGTAACATATAGTGCTGGGCTGAGGTGACATGGCAGCAGGAAAGCTTTAAGCCATCCGACGACAGGATCACATCTCTTAACTTTGCTCCATATGTGCAGCTTATACTGAACAAGTGGAACTCTGCTTCTTTAAAAATAAAATAAAAACTATACTTACGGTGTGGCCCTGGAAGGTTTTGATGGGCTTATCTTGGCCTAGTTTACAGACGTGAATACACATATCTGTGCTACAGGAGGCGAATGTGTTGTTGCTCTGCCAGTCAACATCTAACGCTGGTGCTATTGACAGACAGACAGACAAAACATTAAGCAGAAACATAACCTCCCCCCTGTATTCATCTGTATTCATGAGCAAACGGTGTCAAGCCTAGAGCAGAGCAGAATGTAAAATCCAGAGGGGGTTGCCCTTGTCATTTAATTTCATCTTTCTATATGGTTCTTATATACAGTGGATCCTCGGGTTATGTACCGTCCTCCTTACGAACGCTTTGGGTAACAAGCTCCACCAACACAGAAGTAGATGCTCCTGGTTGCAAACTTTGCCCTGGGATGTGAGTGGAAGTTGTGCGCCTTTGGCGCGGCGGCAGTGGGAGGCCCCATTAGCGAAAGCGTGCCTCATGTTAAGAACAGTTTCGGGTTAAGAGCGGACCTCTGGAACGGATTAAGTTCGTAACCGGAAGTACCACTGTACTGTGGTATTTTTATGTATTACAATTTTGCTGTTATTTTTACTGATGATAATTTAAGTAACGATTCATTGCAATTGTCAAGAGTGAATTTCTGCTTATTCTAATAATAATAATAATAATAATAATAATAATAATAATAATAATACTTTATTGTCATTGCCCCCTCTCGGGGACAACGAAATTACTTCTATTTGCTGATATTCTGCAAGTTCATTTTAAAGTCTACTGTTATAATCTAACAAATTACTGAATACTACAGAGTGTAGTACTAAATACAGTGGTACCTCGCAAGACGAATGCCTCCCAAGACGAAAGGGTTTTTGGTTTTTTGAGTTGCTTCGCAAGACGATTTTCCCTATGGGCTTGCTTCGCAAGATGGAAACGTCTTGCAAGTTTGTTTCCTTTTTCTTAAAACCGTTAATACAGTTGCGACTTGACTTCGAGGAGCAACTCATAGCACGTGGTGTGGTAGCCTTTTTTGAGGTTTCTGACGACTTTGGTGATCTTTGAAGCTTTTCCAAAACTTTTCCGACACCGTGCTTCGCAAGACGAAAAAATCGCAAGACGAAAAAACTCGCGGAACGAATTAATTTCGTCTTGCGAGGCACCACTGTATATCTTCTTTTGATAATGTAGCAAAGAGATTTTGTCCACAGTCGTGCTTTTTTTAAAAAAGAGGTATGGATAATCTTGATTTTAATCAGGACCAACTGAGCCTTAAAAGGCAGTGTCTTCCACTGTTAATTGTCCCTCCCCTAGTTTTCAAAACTAATTGGTTCTTTGAAAAGAAATACGTACCAGAATGGAAAGGAAACTGCTGTTTGGCTTCTCCAGTATGTGCATCCCAAATAATTGTGGTCTGAATTAAAAAAAAAAACAACAAACAGCAAAAGACCATAAAATTGCTTTTGTAGATCTCACTCGTTGCTAAAGTCTGGCAAACCAGCATTATTCAGATTGTATGTTTTGTAGGTTCGCTATTTAAAAATGCCCCAAGCGAAAGTTTATCTACCAGACAGGTGCAGCTTACAAGTTTGCATTATTAGAAAGCAGTTCCTAATATCCATATTTCTCGTCTGTAATCTCCTAATTAGCTCATCTCCCTTCAAATATTTGCAGGCTGCAGCGTCTGCCTTCAGCTAACCACTTAGTGCCCGACACATTATTTGCACACCAGCAGCTCCCTCCTGCCCCAAAAGAGGTTTCAGGGGTGGGTGATGTGAAGTAGAGAGCATGCTAAACCCTTTCTCCACCAGCTGCTTATCCACTCTAAATCCAACACAAGCTCCCTTTCCTTTGTGCAAGGTTCAGAACTTGTTTGCCTTCACTGTGACATATAATGACTAGAAAACCTTCATGTTCGTAAGATTAAGAGCTACTGCAAAGAGGATGACTTCTGGTCTGCTTGAGAAATCTCTCTCTCTCTCTCTCTCTCTGACACACACACACACACACACACACACACACACACACACACACACAGATTTTACCCAGGACAAAATTGGAATCAACAAGCTTTAGGCTCATGCGCTCCCTTCCCATCCTTTCTGTGCTGAGAAAACGACACAGGGATCCCTTAATTTATTTAAAAGGACTATCCCGATTGCCCTTTTCAGAGAGATCCCATGAGTGCATTTATCTGGCAAAGTTACATCAGACTGGATTACCTACCTAGCATTTCCCATAATGGCCTTGTGATGTGGATTTTCCAAGTTAATGTATTTAATATTATTTTTGCTGTAAGTGATAACATCTTCTTCTTTTTATTATTATTATCATCATCATCCTGCTGCCCAGTTAATTGAGGGCACCTTTTCAACTGGTCAAAAGCTTTTTAAGTGATTCAAACCAACTGATAAGACTAAATGCTTCAAGCATCTGCTTGAAACTTCCTGTGAATGTGAAACATACATTTGTCCTCTTGGGTCAGGGAGATCAGTGACAGCTCCCTGTCGAGTGCACACAGCATAGCAAATTTGGGTTTCCTGCTGCAAAATGCATAAAGGAGCCCGTAAGCAAGAAATGGAAAATCCAAGGGGACATGATGCATAAACTGCAGGAAATGTTCTCTACAATTCTCCATATATTTGTCTGCTCTCGTCTTAAGCTGCTCCAGCCTTGGGAGTGTTCACTTGCATTCACAAGTTCGCCATTTGACAGTTCGCCCCCACCATACTTGAGCGAACTGCAATTTCCACTAGTATTAAGAGACCACATTTGTTGTCAAGAATGCTCATAAGTCACCTGCTATATTAAGGCATAGTGAAGATTGTTGTTTCCAAACCCAGACAGGCTCTCACATGGCCTTACTGTCTTTTTTTCTGTTGGGTTTTCAAATCTAAACCTGTTTGGTGCGCCCCATAATTTGATCTTGCCGAAATGGGATTACTGAATAAACCAGATGCCGTCTCACCTTGTCCACGCCTGCGCTCAATATGAAGTTGCCCTTTTTGTTCCATTTTAATGCGAATATGGGACCTTTATGTTGCCCTAACGTGCTGGCGAGATTACCTGGACAATAAAGAGAGCATTTATTACAATTCTAAAATGGGAAAACGAAAGATCGAAACAAATTATGCCATGCACAAGAGACGAAAAAAAGGACAGTGGAAAAAAATTACACAAAATTTCAAAAGATAGAAAAAAGAAGACAACTGAAAAACCGTGTGCTCACCATCTTTAGTCCATATCCTTGCAAATCCATCGTATGACCCTGTTGCTAGAAGCGTACCTTCGCTCTGTGGGGCAAAAGAAGAAGAAGAGAAGAAGAGTTTGGCTTTGATATCCCGCTTTATCACTACCCGAAGGAGTCTCAAAGCGGCTAACAATCTCCTTTCCCTTCCTCCCCCACAAAAAACACTCTGTGAGGTGAGTGGGGCTGAGAGACTTCAGAGAAGTGTGACTGGCCCAAGGTCACCCAGCAGCTGCATTTGGAGGAGCGGGGAAGCGAACCCGGTTCACCAGATTATGAGTCCATTGCTCTTAACCACTACACCATGGGTAGGCAAACTAAGGCCTGATGTCTGGATCCGGCCCAATTGCCTTCTAAATCCGGCCCGCGGACGGTCTGGGAATCAGCGTGTTTTTACATGAGTAGAATGTCTCCTTTTATTTAAAATGCATCTCTGGGTTATTTGTGGGGCATAGGAATTCGTTCACCCCCCCCAAAAAAAATACAGTCTGGCCCCCAACAAGGTCTGAGGGGCAGTGGACCGGCCCCCTGCTCAAAAAGTTTGCTGACCCCTGCACTACACCACACTGGAAAGAGTTAAGAGTGTTATGCTATGCTATTTCGTGTCACAGAACACAGCTAAGGCAGCCAACGTCCTCACGGAGCTTGCTCTCTTTGGGATGAATGTAAACTGAGGGCAATGCGATGCACACTAACTTGGGAGTGAGCTCCACTGGGACTTCCTTCCTAGGCAATGCACTTCAGATTGTGATGTGTGCCATGAAGCTGCATGCCACCTGGGTCCAACCTCCCAAAACTTGAGTCACAGTTTTCTTGTTCCCCCTGCAGACTACTTCCTGTGTGCTTGTTTGTTCAGGCCTGCACATTTTGCAACCCTGCCTCTCCCAAATGAAAACAGCACTTCTTGAAGAAATGCAGCCTGCCTTGATACGGTGCAGCTTGGGGGCATGTGGAACTCCCCTGTGAAATGTTCCTAGTCTCACAAAAATCTTTAATTGGGCTTCCCTTGTAATTTATTGGACGTTTCCCCAGAGCTGGGCCTTCAAAGCACACCTTGAAATTTCATCTTTTGGGGGTGGGGGTGGATATTGCCAGTCATCCTAGTCCTGCTCATAAGGAATGGTGGAAATATATCACAGGGGCACTGTGGTTGGTGTGTTGATCCATAGAGCTAGGAATCTTCTTCTGATGTCTAAATCTACACTGAGGAATTTGGAGTTCCCAGCAGGTGGGTCGCTGTGGCTTACTGGGACGACTGCGGCAGGGAACACAGCGGGGAGGTCACAGCACTGCAGGTGCAATGTCAGGAGACCCAGAAGGCCTGAAACATCGAGTCTGCACCACACTGACTTCTCAGCTCCACTTCTTCCTCCTGGTAAGCAACAGCCAGCTGCTTTTGGTCATCAACCTTCATGGGGTGGAATCCTCCATCTCCTTAATGGAACTTGTACCAATTGCTCCCTATCTCTCCCCCCCTTTCTAATAGCCTTTTCAGTGCTTGAGAACTACCAACAGGTTTTCTTAAAGCCCGTTCCAATACTATTCCAGGGTGAGTCTTTATTGCACTGATGGGGGTGGTGCGGTGCAGAATCTGTTTAAGGTCTCTTCCCCAAGATACCCCTCTTCCACTTTTCCCAGGTCTGGGGAACCTGACGCCCACCAGATATTGTTGAACTGCAATCCCATCATCCCTGACTGTTGGCCATAAGAGTTATGAGTTCCCAACCCACTGACCTACACCTTTGTTGTTTTTTCTTTGTTATGCTTCTGTGATGCTGATCTGGGACTATTATAAAGCTTGCTTGTAATTTTACTTGCTCTTTTGCACTTCCTGCCTTCCTGGCTTTAGTTTCTTTGCCCAGACAGCTGATTTGAGTGCGCTCAAGGGCTTGTGCATGCCTGCTGTGTACAACTCCGGTACACAATAAAACACTTCTGAAAGCCCACTGAGTCTTGAAAGCTCTCTTCTGCGCAGAACAGGGAGTGGATGTGCTTCCTGAACCCTTATGGGGCTGCAAAGTTCAGCCTTCCAGATAATATCCCAGCTACGCCAAGTGTTGACCTTTCAGCAGGTATGCGTTTTACTGGTTACCATGGGCATTGGTGGCATTAAAAGCAGCGACGAAAGGGACACGGTCAACTCACAATTCTAAGTGGAAAGTTCAGAAAAGAACTCCCTCATCCCCCCCTGTGGATACCCACTGTAACTTGGAAGCTGAAAATATGGGTTTTGCAAAGTACGTTTGGAGCACCGGGGAGTTTCTGCTTACATTCCAATCTAGGGAAGTCACGTCTTTGTTGCTCGGTACATCTTGGCCCCCTTCTCGTATACAGTGCCGAAGGACCAGCTGTGTGGATCCACTGGTACTGTTTTCACTAAGGTTCCATATTCTTGCCGTTGAATCTCCCGATCTGCAAAATAAACAGGGATCATGGGCTTCTTTGAGCCAATAATTTACCACCACCTTGCAAGAGCAAAAGGTGTGGGTAACACTGCCTGGTCACAACCATTCCCAGAATTACAGGCTCTTTTGCTAGAAACGTTCCAATCAGTCTTTTGCATTTCTTCTCTGTGTGCACTACGTTACACGGACCTCATTCTGCTGTTTTGAATGGGAACGCTTTTACGTTGCCCAAAATAACGTGCTTACCACTTTCACCACTGCAAAGAGCCAAGAAGCTACGGTTAACTATTCCAAAACGAACACAAAAAGCCCTACTTTTAAAACATGCCACTTTGTCGGCACCATTGTGCGATTCAAGCAGTCCTATTCCCAGGGTCTTCAGAGAAGAGCTGGACCGCTAATTAAAGTATCCACAGCTGGAGGATACCAAACTACCTGTCACAGTGTGTAAAATATATGGGGACAACTAGCAAATAAACTAGCAGTGTGCCACAAGCTGGCCTCCAATTTTTCAAAGGATTTATTCCCCTGCAAGCGAGCCTTCCATTTTTCTCCTTCATTCTCAGGGAGTCGTCCCCCCCCCCACCCAACACAATTGCTTCAGAATTTTGGTGGGTGTTAGGCTGAGCTTATACTTTATAACAGTGAGGTGATTCTGGGTGTTAGACTTTCCTTTAAGCATTTATCCAGCATGCTTCTTGATATGAAAAAGCAACAACACCCATGGGATTTTGAAGAAGAGAAGAGTTTGGATTTGATACCCCACTTTATCACTACCCTAAGGAGTCTCAAAGTGGCTAACATTCTCCTTTCCCTTCCTCCCCCACAACAAACACTCTGTGAGGTGAGTGGTGCTGAGAGACTTCAGAAAAGTGTGACTGGCCCAAGGTCACCCAGCAGCTGCATGTGGAGGAGCGGAGACGCGAACCCGGTTCATCAGATTACGAGTCCACTGCTCTTAACCACTACACCACACTGGCTCTGGAAGCTGTGGAAGTTGGCTACCAAGTGCCTCAGAACAGCATGCTTACTGATTTTGTTTTTAAGGTAAGTTCTTCCTCTCTCCCTCTCTTTGCCTTTTGTTTTTTTAAAAAAGAACTTTCTGCACGGATAAGAAGTTAAAAACTAAAAGGACTCAACTTCTTTGTACAAAACAAACAGATGCCAGAAGTGTGGTCGGCGGCCTCCCCACCTTCTCGTGCTTAAAGAAAAGGCTGTGCAACCGGAGTAAAGAACTGCCTCTGTAAATTTCTTTAGGGGAAACATACCCAGAGGCCAGGAGGTCGCAAACAGGGTTCCACGCACAGATGAATACTTCTGATTCGTGGCCACGCAACACCACTGCTTTGTTAGAAGGGATTTCGACGTCGCCATCTACTTCCATCATATCCGTGTGATTATCTGCAGAACAGAGGACAACAACGGGGGTAGGTGTGTTACTATGGACCCACTCCTTCTTTGAATCCTGCCTTTTGGCCTGCAGGACCACGGACAGCACACCTTGGTTGCTTGGTACGTCTTTGCCCCAACCCCACTGCCATCTTATAGGCTGATGGCCAGAGGGCACTGTTTCAAGCAGCAGCAGTTGGCAGGGAGGGCGGTGGTGCTTCTCTGACCTCCTCTCATCAGCACTGCTATTTATAGAGTGGGCAGAGGTGTGCTTGCTTCTCAGTTTGATCCTTTCTTGTGGGTTTGAATATTTTGTGGTATTTTATGCATTGCTACTGGCTGATGATTTTAATTGATTACAGTTTAGTAATTCTTTGATGTAATGGTTAAGTGCGAGCTGTGCAACTAGTGTTTGCTGATAAATTTAACGCTATTCGAATGGATTATTGAACATTGCTTTATTTGCTTATTTTATTTGCTTATTTTAACTTCAACTTTTTTGTTGGATCAGGTTATTAAGCGTGTGAGATCTCTGCAGTCTGCTTTGTTGTTTCTTCAGCTTACAAACCCGTCTTGTGTATAGTAACATAGAAAGGGCGGTATACGATTTAAAAGTGAAATGAAATGAAATTTCAGCACAGTGCAAATGCACCGGCAGAACCAATCCGCCACTCATGCTGGTGCATTTGCACTGCACCAACCTCCCTGATGCCTCTCCCTTCCTGGAAAGCACAGCGACACCAAGGAAAAGGAAAATATTGCTGCTCCATCCCACCAACCACTACTGGTTTTCAGCAGGTTTTCACACTCTAACCCTTGACTCTGAACACATACTCTGTTGGGCTTTTCTCTGCTTCCCTAGATCGCTGGGCCTTCTGGCACACCCTCCTACATCTGAGCATCAGAAGCAATGTGCCCTTTTGATGGGTTGGTGCAAATGAACTGCATTCAACCCACCAAATGGGGTCCTAGGAGTGGAGATTCAGAGTGGTGTAGTGGACAGAATGCTGGACTTAGCGGTGGTGGGGATTTCTATCTCCTATCTGGCCATGAAGGTCAGAGTAACCAGTCACAACCTCCCTGTTTAATTGACCTCAGAGGACTGTTTTGATTATACAAGTTAGAGGAACCATGTTGATGTTTAAGAATGCAGAGAAAAAGGACAAGAAAGAGGTACTTAGGTGTGCTGGTTAATTTTGGGCATGTTTGTCCTGCACCTGCAACTGGTTAACCATGTGAGAGTGAGTCAGCAAGCATGTGAGAGTGACTTAGCACAACCTAAAGTATAAATATCCTTGTGTTTGAAGCAAGTTTGCTCTTGGCTCCTGCCCTGGGCCAGAGCCTAGTCTGTGTTGGAACACTGCAAGAAGGTATGCTGCTGGATCTGCTTTATATTGCCCATAAAGGGACTGACTGGTGTTTTTCTGTTTCACTGGAACACTCCGCTGGCGTGTTGAATGGGCACTCTGTATATGCCCCAACGAAGCATATATGCTATCACAAGATCTTTGGAGGTTTTAGTAACAGTGAATAATAATTGCCTTAAGAGCAAAGCCAAAATATTTCTTGTGTGCATACAAATTATGTATTTGTCACCGCATGCATTTTTTATCTTCATTGTTTGTGTACTTTATTACGCTAAAGAGGTGGTTTCTAGGGTGATGCAGGGCTGAGGGCAAGACAAGACCACCTTAACTCTGATTTAAACATACGCTATAATGGAAAACTCTCCTACCCCCATACAGATCATGTTGCCATATTCAGCTAACTCCACGGAGGTGTGTGGCAAACCAGTGGCTAATCATGGCAAGGTACAGTAAGTTGCTTTATTTACTTTGGCAAGGAAGCCATATTGAATCCACATTGGCCTGTCTGTTTAAACAAGCAAAAGTCAACAGTTTTGAGTCTAAGCTGGTGGCGACGTTTTTCTAGCATTTCAAAAGGAAATTGAAACCCCAAAAGGTGAAATCAGATTAAGCCAAGGGAGCCAAGGACAGAAAGTTATGGTTAGCAAATGCAATCCACTTCCTATTTTGGAGATCTATGCACAACCTTTGCAAGTCTGGTGACTAATTTAAGAGTGACCTGTCTGCAAAAAGCACACATGCAAGATAGAGGGTAGAGGGGCAGCTTTTTCCCCAAGTCATCTCAGTATCCCTCGCACTGGATACAGAAGCTACATAAATCCTTCTTTCTGTAAAGGCAGACAGAGAGCAGGTATCATTTGCGTTTCCAGCCAGTAGGGGTGGCTGGTAAATCACATTATCTTTAGACCAGTAGTCTGGATTTCTAGCATAAGCGGCAACTCACAGCTAACAAGCCAAAAAAGAAGGGGGAGGAGCACCAACAGTCCCCCTGGCTTCTAAATCCAAACATGGAAAGGAATGGAGACATTAGTTTTAAAGAGAACGTGTGTTTCCGCAGGTTTACCAATGCAAATAATAGCCATGTGTTGGAAGCTTACTTTAGGGGAGAGCTTGGGCTCACAGTTAACCTTCCGCTGCCAGCAGAGTCCAGCTTGCTGCTGGGAACCTTGCAAACAACACTGGTCTGATCCTGCAAGGCGCTCTTGTTTGTTTTTTAAAGCAAGAGCGAACTCAGGATCAGTCAACAGTTTTGCTTCAACTATTGAGAGCCAAGCATGTGGTCTTGCTTTGCAGGTTTAAAATAAACCAGTAGACTGTGGGCACAGTAGTAAATAAGAAGCAGGCCACACAAGGTGCGACTCTGCTATGCCTGAATTTAGGATTTTGACTGTGTTTCGCCAAGAATGTGCTTTGTGTCTGGGACCTTCAATGGAGGCACACTTGCCCAGATGCCATTCTGCCGGCTGAAAAATGTTCCGCAATCGTAGGAATTGCAACAGTAATTTCACTCTTCCGATGCTGCATTTTGTGATTGGTATAATTCACATGCCTGTCTGAGAAGACTGTGGGAACGGAAAACAGCCTTATCTCTCTTCCGCTGTAAGTACTTTGTAATGTACTTTTGCTTTTACAGTGGTACCTCAGGTTACATACGCTTCAGGTTACAGACTCCACTAACCCAGAAATAGTACCTCGGGTTAAGAACTTTGCTTCAGGATGAGAACAGAAATTGTGCGGCGGCGCAGTGGCAGCAGGAGGCCCCATTAGCTAAAGAAGTGCTTCAGGTTAAGAATAATTTCAGGTTAAGAACGGACCTCTGGAACGAATTAAGTACGTAACCAGAGGTATCACTGTACTTTGTTCTGTTTGTTCTCTCGGAGCAGAAGAGAACGGTCGCCATTATGCTGTAGTCTGTACATAGTGTGTAAATAAATAGTATATTAGACTACGATGTTTCACGCTTCTTGCTGTGTTATGCTAGATGATTAGTGTGCATAAATCAAGGTGGTTTATGTTGCTGAGCGCACTGGATGAGAGGGGAGATGCCTTTTCTAGTGTTGCGCATACCAGAGGACAATCGGAGTTGTAGCAGGCACCCCATGGCATTTTCCAACAAATTGCAACAGCTGGGAAACCTTGCAGATAAAAAAGCGTGCACGCACTGGGAACATGGTGCTTTGAGCAACACTGTCCAACCCCCCCAAGCCCCCCCCCTTTTCAAATGTTTACAAACATTTGGTGCAGCCGCGTCCTGATCACCCAGCCAAATTTGTTCGCTCAAATACTGGGGATATGGAGATGCTTCATGCAGACGGCTCTGCGTGAAATTCGGAACTTAACGGCAAGAGCACAGCCACCTAATCCTTCTTGCATGCCGGCTTACTTACTTGCTAGAGTGTGGGCTCCATTTTCCTCGCCGTTCGCAGTGTTTTCGCCATTCTTCGCAGACCCCTGCTGGTTTGTCGGAGCCGCCGCCGCAGCGGCCGCCGCCTGTTGCTGGGCGAGTTTGTCCCTGTAGGCCTGCTGTCTCGTCTGCACCACATCGGGCATCACGGCGTCTATCAGCGAGAGGGACTCTATCGGCCTACCATCGAACAAAGTACCATCCTGATTTGGAGGTTGAGGATCAGAGAGAGAGAGAGAGAGAGAGAGAGAGAGAGAGAGAGAGCGCGTTTCAATGGCAGGTCAAATTTTTCATCGATAATCTCAGGGCAGGAGCGTAAACAAACCTGTCCTGATGATGATGAATTTTGACCACTGCACAGAGTACTTTGCAAAGTGTTTTTAAAGCAAGAGCGAACTCAGGATCAGTGGTTTTTTAATAAAAAAAACTCTAGGGGCCCTCTAAAGAGGCGTCGCGGGGCGAGGACAGAATGGGTATGCGGGGCCAATTGTCCTGTGAAGTTACTGAATAGTATCTGTCTGTAAACAAATGAAGATGCCTTGCAAAGAGTCAGTCCATTGCTCTGCCTCCAACAACGTCTTAGGGGAGACCCCGCCCTTGACCTTAGGGTTGCCCAACAGCAGAATCGGCGGCAAAAGCCCCCCTGGGCTACTTTCATTTCACCCAGGCTGCCCCCTAAAGTTGATGCGCACTGCCATTCAGATGGTGTGTATGGATCGCATCTTGTAATTGACTATGTGGGGTGACTATGCCCCCACCCCCAATATTTTATTCAAGTTGGCACCCTTTGGTTGTTGGCACCTGCCTGCCTCAAGAGATCATGGAGTGCACCTCTGGGGATGAAGCCAAATCTCTCCGTTAACAGAAACCTGGGGCGCAAGCCGGGGCAGCGTGTATGGAGGTCCTGGACCCCAATCGTGGCCTCATAGCCCAAAGGAAAGCGGAGCAATATGTCTGGCACCAGCTGGGCTGCAGAAGTTGCTGGACGGAGGCATACATGGCACCAGTCAACTGTCTTAGGGACTGAACTCTGGATCTGTGCGGGGTTTACTCTTTAGCCTTTTCTTCTCAAGGTGGATATCTTCTCCTAGATGAGCTACCTTCCCAGGTTGACGAGCCCCCCAAATACAAACAATAATATAAGCCCATGGCCAGTGGATGGCCCTGGAATTCAAGGACTTAAAGGAAAAAGAAACTATTCTGACCATAAGAGCTTTTTCAGGCAGATTCCCTCTCATTGGGAATCGGGTTGTCATGCCAGTCAGATTTCCAGCCTAGTGCTGCTGTTAGTGAACACTGGGTTGGCGCATTTGCACCCACTATTTGATCGTGGATGAGGGGTGCTAACTTGATCTGAGAACTGGGTGGAAGGACTGGGAGAGCGGGACCTGGCCCAGCTCAATTTGCCTGGCTTCTCAGCACAGGGGACTAAGGTATTTTCACACAAAAAATTCCAGACATAGGTTTAAGGGCAATATAATAACGCATACATTTGCTTTTGTTAAGTACTGCCGGAAGGCAGGGGACACACCAAACTAAACTTGAAAGTATCTCCTCGAAAACTGCCTCCATAGACATGTCCCTTTGGCTTGTTTTTAGAAGCTGGGAGGACGGGGCAACTCCTTGTGGCGGGCTGCTTCCCTCATTTATTCTCCGTTCTTCCCCTGGACTCGTGTCCTTCCCAGAGATTTCTTTTCACCGTGAGAGTGGTGAATGCTCTCTCTGTTCTCCAACTCAAAAGGAAAAGAGAGGGATATCAAAGGAAGGCGGAAATGGCCGCCGGGCCTCAACTGAAGTGTTGAAAAGGCTCTCCCTGTGCAAGGCCAAGGGACCACCTGAGTTACTAGGCAGAAATAAGGGACTCTGGTAAGATACCTGCTTGGTAAGGAGGGGGAATGGCTGACGTGCACAACTTCAAGGTCTCAAAAGTAGAAACTTTCACATCTTGAAGAAGGGAGAGGAGAGGAAATAATCTGAGTGGGGACTTCTTCCAAAAAAGTTTTATTTATGTATGGAAGGGTTAGTGAGGAAAACGGTGAGGTGCATCGCTTTCCATTAGACTAGGAAAGCCAAGGACAAGGACGCTAAGCTATTTTTGCAGAGGTGGGTGTGGCCAGAGACAAGAGAGGGTGGAGCCAGAGCAGTGGACATGATTCTTACCTCTGCGCAGTGGTCTGCATTCCAGCCACACACAAAAACAGAGTTTCTACGCCCCTCCACCCAACCCACCGCCTCTCCATCATCTTTCCAGGTAAGCAAGAAACATTAAGGGCAAATTCCAGCCACGCAAAAGCCCTCAAGGAGGGTGTGGGACAGGGCTGATGGAGGCTGTGGCCTGGGGAGTGTCTCTAGGGCTGCCTTCAGGCCCCAGGCCTGAGGTTCTCCACACCTGTCTCTGGGATAATGCAGTGTGTGTGTGTGTGTGTATCCAAAACAGAAACATCTTTGCAAAAGACTGGGCAAAATCACTAGGCCAAATGAGAGCGAATCGAAACCACAGTGTTCTTAAAAAAACAACACAATCAACTGGGTTCCCTCCCCAATTTGATCCACTGCCTTATTGGTGTTGTTTGAATGACCACAGCTGGTGGCGCTTGTGCATGACCTCCTAAATGAAGAGACATCAACTTTGGCAGTGCTTTGGCCATGTGTGCACTGCGACAGGTAGTTCCGAGCTTTTGGCAACTGCATGCCATGCTTTTGCAGGTGAGGGTGCTTCTGTCTGCACGCTCTCTGAATTCCTTAGGCTTGCCCAGAATCTGGGCACATGCAACCTGTTCACGTGAACATTGAAGGAACTTTAATATATGATCTCTGGAGGATCAGCAGTCTGATAAAAGAACACACAAACACACACCCACACGCAACATGGCAATGAATGACTGCCCTGATTGAGGCCTCCATAGAACTTTGTATTATTCCAACCTTCTTCGACAAGAAAAGGTCTGGTGAGCAGGACCTACAGAGGATCTAGCGTGACAGCAAACCATCTAAGCAGGACAGTCGAGGAGGAGAGAGCAACCCACTTCCCCAGGGTAATGAAACCCTCTGCAGATATATGAAAGCACTTATCATCTATAGCCAACAGGAGACTTGCCTTACCTCATTAATACTGACTTCCGCCTCTACATACTGCAAGCCTTTCTGGATGATGGAAATCAAAGCAGCAGGGGGTACCAGGGCACCGTTGATGTTAGACTGGCTGATATGGCTCTCGATACCAAAGGTAAATGCTGAATGAGAGAACCCTAAAGACAAGGGGGAGGTTATAAGGATGTGCTCATACACACAAGAAGCCTTAGGCCAGTGATGGCCAAACTCTACCCTCCAGCTCTTTTGGGACTACAACTCCCATCATCCCTAGCTAACAGGACCAGTAGTCAGGGATGATGGGAAATGTAGTCCGAAAACGGCTGGAGGGCCAAGTTTGGCCATCACTGTCTTAGGTTGTCAAGCTGCAGCCAGCAGGTCTGGCCTGGAGTGTCACACACTGGGGGGGAAAGAGCACAAATCAACTTTTCCTGAATGGCAGGATTCGTTCTCAAGGTTTATCTACCAAAGACCACAGCAGAGAATCTTACCTAGTCATGCTAGTTATGCTGCTTTGCCGTTACCCAGTGAATCAATTATTTCCTTTATAAACCTTGGTCAAGTCTATCAACCCCCAAAGCTCTGGTGAGGCATTGAAATTCATTTGTTTATTTCTCTTTCTCTCACCACCACCCCGGGCCGCATTTCCATTTATTCCTAAATTGCATAGGACAAGGGAGAATATATGCCTACAGAAGGGAGGATTAACTTCACGACAAAGCATTTTAATTGCATGAGCACACCAGCGCCAGGCGTGCGTTTCTTCTGCGTGCCATTTCAAGGGCAGCATAATTATCGTTTTGCAAATAGGAAAATTAGGATTACTGGATGCTAACAGTGTTATTTATTTGCTTGCCCTGAAAAGGTAAATCCATTGTGAGGAAGTGATTCATCTTAAGCTGTTACGGTTTTCCACTCGTAGGTAATTAGAACCTCAGAAAGCTCCCCTTTTGGGACGTTATAAACAGTTGCTTTATAGCCGTTGGGATCCAAAATTTTGCACAGATACCAGAGAACAGAGAGAGAGTGATTTCACAGGTATTGCAGCAGTAACGATAACAAGATAAAGACCCCGGAGGCAGAATGGGGCTATGCAAATTAAAGGGTGGGGCTATGCAAATAGGAAAAGTGTTCCCCCAGGCAGCAAGTTTATTCTGTTGAAGGGAAGTGGGAGAAAAAATTACAATCTGCTAGGCCAAAACCTGCTTTCCATCTTGGACCAGCGTTTGAAATTGCCAGGCACATTTTCCACCTGGCTATCGGCCACTTGCGACCAAGTGAAGACGCCTGGGTGCCAAGATGGAGCCTGACGTCTCCACCACCTGGGGGGATCCTTGGATCTTGCCTGTTTTCACACACTAACAACACATCCTGTAGAATTCTATCCGTTGTATTTTATCTGCATGAGATAAAAGGGCAGTACACAAACTGCAATCATCATCTTCATCACCATCTGAACAAATTTCAGGAACCACAACGTCGTTCTGGAAAAACATGACTTTTGAGCCATCTTGGCCTCCAAATGGCAACTAGACATTCCATTTTGCTAGGTGTTATCAATTTTGATATTGATCAGATCAGCTAGTTAATACGAGTGCTGAGGCTCACCTGCCCTGCTTTGGATGTAAGAACAATCAGACCTGGGCTATATGCAAACAACCATTTCCCTGCACAAAAATCTGGTTCATTGGTCATAGGATCTGGATTTTGTGAGTGAAGGCTAAATCTGAATGTTACAGCTTTGCACAGGCTGCCAGCCCTGTCTGGCCCGTTGGCTGTTTCAAAGCTATAGACCCTCCAGAAGATGCCAGGGCAGCCACTCAGTGGCTTTCTTTTCATAGGGGTTCAAGAGTGTTCCCCCTCCCCCTTATCTGCCCTGCCATGGGTGGCTTTCGATAGAAGTCCTTCGGTTTGATAATAATAATAATAACAACCATTTATACCCGGCCCTCTGACTGGGTTTCCTCAGCCACTCTGGGCGGCTTCCAACAAAACACTAATATACAATAACCTATTAAACATTAAAAGCTTCCCTAAACAGGGCTGCCTTCAGATGTCTTCTAAAAGTCTGGCAGTTGTTCTTCTCTTTGACATCTGGTGGGAGGGCATTCTACAGGGCGGGGGCCACTACCGAGAAGGGCCCTGTAACTTGGCTTCTCACAGCGAGGTAACCGCCAGAAGGCCCTCGACGCTGGACCTCAGTGTCCGGGCAGAACGATGGAGGTGGAGACGCTCCTTCAGGTATACTAGACTGAGGCCATTTAGGGCTTTAAAGGTCAGCACCAACACTTTGAACTGTGCTCAGAAACGTACTGGGAGCCAGTGTAGGTCTTTCAAGTCCAGTGTTATATGGTCCCAGTCACCAGTCTAGCTGCCGCATTGTGGATTAGTTGTAGTTTCCGGGTCACCTTCAAAGGTAGCCCCACATAGAGCGCATTGCAGTAGTCCAAGCGAGAGATAACCAGAGCATGCACCACTCTGGCGAGACAGTCCACGGGCAAGTAGGGTCTCAGCCTGTGTACCAGATGGAGCTGATGTCCAGCTGCCCTGGACACAGAATTGACCTGCGCCTCCATGGACAGCTGTGAGTCCAGAATGACTCCCAGGCAGCACACCTTGGATTATTAAAGTGGATAAGAGAGAAGCGTTCCTCCTGCTCTCTCTTTCAATGAAGCCAAACACTGGGAGATTCTGCACAGGCAAGATGGAAAAAATAAAATTGTGCACAGAGAATGAAATTTGTGGAGGACAGGACTGCCCTTGGTTAGTGGTCACTGCGGTTATGTTCTACTCCATTGTCTACACATCAGTTGCTGATGTCCAGTTTTCAGGCTTCCCATAGGAATCTGGTTGGCCATTGCAAGAACAGAACTGCGGACCAGATGGGCTTCTAGGTCCAGCAGGCTCTTCTTTTGCTCCAAGAGATGTTGTTGCTGAATCTTTTCATAGAATTGTAGAGTTGCAAGGGACCATTAGCATCATCTAGTCCACCCCCACCTCCCGCAATGCTGGAATCTTTTACGCAATGTGGGGCTTGAACCCACAACCCTCATGCTCTACCGGTTGACCTGTCCCAGAGCTTTCGTTTCGTTTGTTGCTGTTGATTTACAGTTATGGGTTGAAAGCCACTTTGAACAAGTGGGACAAGGCAATCTATACGCATTTTAATGAATTAAATTTGGGAGGGAATAAACAAAAGAATCCAGAAAAGACAATGAGCTTGGGGGTTTAGGAGTATGAGCGTGAGTGTGGGGAAACCCAACATCATCAAGCTACCGTATTTTTCGCCCTATAGGACACATTTTTTCCCCTCCAAAAATGAAGGGGAAATATGGGGCGAATGCAGGCTTTCCCGGGCTTCTTGCAGCTCTGCGCCACCCTCCTGATCCTGGCGCGAAGCCGCGCGGGGCTCCGGAGGGTGGCGCGGAGCTGCCTGCGCACCAGGGCTTCCTGCAGCTCTGCGCCACCCTCCGGATCCCGGGCTTCGCGCACCTCTCCGCAAGCCTGGGGGCTGTTCTGGGGGCTGGGGTCAGGGGAAGCTCGGGCTTCCCCCGCGCCTGCCCCATGCCTGGGGAGGGAATTTTTTTTTTCTTTATTCCCCCCCCCCAAAAAAAAAAATTAGGTGCGTCCTATGGGGTGAAAAATACGGTAGTTCTGTTAGGTCCAATGATCTGTCCCACCAAGAACTTCCTAAAAAAATCAATGTGGAAAATGTAAATTTCCTTGCACCTTTTCATATGTAGGTGCTACAAAACGCCAGCATTCTGAAGCTCAAAATTTCCAGAATTCCAAAATTTGGTGCACGTGAGTACCATGGACATATCTAGGTCAGTCCCCCAAGTAAGACAATGGGCAAACAAGCCTATAGCATTTGTATGTGAAACTTATCATTTCACTTTGAATTTGTGTACCGCCTTTGTTTATTATTCTACACAAGGCGGTTTACAAAATATACAAGAAAAGAAAAACACCTTACAATAATCTGACCCCAACACAAAAAGCCACAATAAAATGTAACTTTAAAATTGATTAAAGGTAAAGGGACCCCTGACCATTAGGTCCAGTCATGACCAACTCTGGGGTTGCGGTGCTCATCTCACTTTATTGGCCGAGGGAGCCGGCGTACAGCTTCCGGGTCATGTGGCCAGCATGGCTAAGCCTCTTCTGGCAAACCAGAGCAGCGCACGGAAACGCTGTTTACCTTCCCGCCGGAGCGGTACCTATTTATCTACTTGCACTTTGACGTGCTTTTGAACTGCTAGGTTGGCAGGAGCAGGGACCGAGCAACAGGAGCTCACCCCGTCGCGGGGATTCGAACCACCGACCTTCTGATCGGCAAGACCTAGGCTCTGTGGTTTAACCCACAGCGCCACCCACATCCCGCTTAAAATGGATTGACTTACATCAAATAAAGTAATATTCAATAATCTAATAGAATATAACAGTACACGATAAAATTAACTCTCAAAACAGCAGCAAATAATAATTAAATAGAATTTCGCTCTTAACAATTACGATAATTATCGTCAATGCAGCGAGCATCAATTTTACGGATTATGGTTGTTGTTGTTTTTTAAAAAATCTGGGCCTGAGAGGAACGACTTGTTAAGGCTCATCAAAAAGGCAACTTTCTCAAAATTAAACAAGACTACAAGGGAGCAAGGCAGGACAGTGTAAAGGAGAGAAGGGGTGCAGATTGTCTGCCACAGGTACACTGCTTTCAGTTGCCTTGGCACGCACTGAGTAACTAAAACAGGTATTCTAAGCAGGACCTTAACATTACTAAAGGTTCTGTGGGTAGCTAGGCTTTAAAAATCGCACACCACTGAGTTCAGCTGCCAGGCGCCGGCTTTCTGCCATCCCTGGAAATAATGTGTGTATTCATCTCATTCCTGGACGCCGCACTCGCTAGCACTAATGAGCCACTGTTGAGCTGGCACTGCTGTGATTTATCATGGAGACACCCCACGCAGGATTTTCATGGTTGCAGAGCCAGGGTCGCAGCTCTGAAAAAAACCGCTTCCCTTTCCAAACACTTCCCCCGTGAAGGCAACCCTCTCTTGAAGGCGGTCCAATCAGACGAGGAGGGCTTTGGAGCGAGCTTTTTTTGGGAACTTAATTTACTCCCGCTTTGGGCTAACGTGCAAACAATAGAGGG